GGTGGAGGCCATATTTTAAAGCTGTTTTTCTAGACTAAATGAACAGTTTTAGACTCAACTCAAACTGCTACATTTTGCCCATAGTGAAAGTAGATGAGTTTGTTAGGTTTCCTCACACGCACAGGAAACCAGTAGTCACCTGCCATGTTGCAGAGGGGTTGGTTTCAGATGCACACATACACCTACTTTACAAAACGTAGCTCACATCTTAAGACAATGCTGCTACAAAGCAGTAACGCATGTTCGTGTGAAACCCACAATCATGAACAGCTCTGTGATTTTTACATACAAACTATAAAAGACACAATCTGTACTTCTATATTGTAATAACCAAGTCATCTGTGATTACTGTGAGATATGTTTTGCTTCTGTTACAACGTTATCTCAACAAACATAAGCACACAACACCAAACTGACAGAGGATGGCCCTGTGGTTATCACTTTCATTTCAGACTGTTTGAATGACACACTTCATTTTAATATTGTTGATAAGGTTTTCTGCATTCAGGATGATTCACCTTTTAATCATCAACACACTTTTTTTTAAAAATATATCCCTAAATGGCAAAAAATTTAAGTAAATAAAATCCGTGTCCGGCCACTGGTTTAAAATTTACATAGGCGGGGAACAGAGATGGATTTGGGGGTTGTTGCTGGTGGATAACGTGGTTGTCTGTAAGTGACACAGTATTTCCAGTGAGCAGGCCAGCTGCCAGAGCCCAGCTGCACATAAGTCACTGTGACTTCCATTAAGAGAAAGGCAGACTGTGAGCTGGCTGGAGCCTTAAAGGGGAAATAACCAGGGTGGAAACGCTTTACAACAGTGAAGCAACGGCTACATAATTAAGTTTTAATATACCCTCTGTATAACTGACGGTGAGAAAGCTAACCAAAGAACAATTGTATTTGTCAGCTGACTTAAAGGTTACTTAAAAATGCTGGAAAAACCCATTCTGGAAAGTTTCATTTATATTGTTAAAATATTAAAGGTCTCATTTAATAGCTGTAGTTCAATTTTAGCAAGCTTGTGAAAGTCTGGCGTACAGACTTGAGAATACTTAGCTCACTCCAGTAACTTCTCGGCAGGCTGAAAATCTCTCAGCTACATTTTAAACGTTTTTTTACATGGCCGACCAGCGCTGGCTCTCAGCTACTTACCGCTGAAAGAGTCTGTCGGGCTCATCTCAATTAAGCTGTCTTCTCCCGTTTTCCCCGTTAATCTGTGCATCTTGAGACACTCGCGAAGCCAAGCCGTTCTAATCCGCTCTGGTCTGGACTAATATATTCCGAGCCAGGCGTGTTATGTCTCGCCCGAACCGCTCCGCTTCACAGTCGATCCCCCTTCGGGAAGCCAAACGGCTGACTCACTCGCCAGGATGCCCTCCTTCACCCACTGACCGCTCACTGGCGCATCACCACAGCCTCAAGGGAGGCCCATGAGGGAAGTGCCTCCACGCTACTAGCCAATAGTCTTCGCCCGACGGTGAACAGACACTGCACCCAAGTGTCCACGTGCTATGTACACTGAACTAATTCAAGAAGATAGTCCAAGTGACAATATTACGCTTACCGTAGATAAAACACAAAAACAAAGAAACAAACTAATGGTAATTTAACACATTTACATTCAGTTTTTGTGTTAATAGTGTTAGATTGAATTGTATGTATTTGTTAAACGTATCTCTATGTATTTAACCTGAACTTTGCGCAATATGACCTTGACTGGTTTCTTTGTATTTTTCTAATAAAATTATTTGCACTTGTTTGTTTGTTCATGCTATTTCCCCCAAAACATGGGACCCATGTCAAAATTGCTAAAAGTTGTTGGTAAATTTAATTTTTCCAG